GGCAGCTGCAGCGGCAGAAATGCTGCAGGTCCCTTAAGTGATGGCAGTGGGCCATGTGGCAGCAGGCAGTAAACAGCGGGTTCTGAGAGCAGCCAGTCCCAGGCAGGGACAGCGCAGTTGCCCAAGTGGCTGCAGCAGGCCACGAGGAGAGACAGACAGATGGGCACACCATGAGACCACGCCACAGATCTCCAAAGGCAGCTGGTCCTGGGGTAGGGAGCCACGCGATGGCGGATGAGAGAGAGAGAGAGAGAGAGAGAGAGAGAGAGAGAGAGAGAGAGAGAGAGAGAGAGAGAGAGAGAGAAGGGGGGTAAGGGGAGAAGTAGGAAGAAGAGGGAGCTGGAAAAGGAAGAGACTCTGCCTCCCAAGAGCTGGGATTAAAGGTGTGTGCCGCCGCCACCTGGCTCTGGGTTGCATTGTTCTTGTTCCCTGACCTTAATGAGTTCCTCATTCAACTCTGTGCCTTTCTCAAAGTTTAGATTGTCTTCTTGGGTTTTTCACCCCAAAGATACTTAACAAAAACATCTTAGCCTAACTTTATTTTCGAAGCTTCGTTTGAGCTGTGATGCACTCTGAAACCTGTGAACACATCTCCCGACATTAAGGTTCTAAGAATTTAAGGAAGCTGGGCTACAGGAACTCAAGTGGGACTTTTTTGTTTTGTTTTGTTTGTTTGTTTGTTTTGAGTTATTTTGCTTTGTTTTTCGAGACAGAGTTTCCCTCTGTAACAGTCCGGGCTCTCCTGGAACTCACTCTGTAGACCAGGTTGGCCTTGAACTCACTTGCCTCTGCCTCCCAAGTGCTGGCATTAAAGGCGTGCGCCACCACCGCCTGGTTTCAAGTGTTTTTGTTAATCATTAACCTAAGCCACAGCCTATGCAACTCCTCAATAGAAACTCACGTGTTCTAGCTGGGTGACACTTCCTTGTTTTATTTTTAATCATCAAAACTCTATTTAAACTAACATTAATATCAATCACGCATACAGATTAAGAAGAAATTATCTTCATAATAATCCACAGGTAAAGCCGTCCAGTACAATGGGATGTTCCCATGAGATAAACGCACCCATTGCAGGCAGTGGGATCCCCCACACCCATTCACACCACACCAGATGCCGGAGAAAGATGGCAGCAGCAACCGTGTGAAGGCTCAGCAGAAGCAAAGGACGTTCTGGGGTCTGTGGTCCTGGGCCTTTCCTATCCATAACCCACCCATCAGGGATTCTCCTCCTTGTGAGCTGACACTCTAAAGTCAGCTGCCTTCTGCTGCTCCTCTGGCACGTCTGGCACCATCAAGCTTCCTGCGACGGTTCCCTCCCCGAGGCTCATCCGCCAGTCTCTGGCTCTATGCAGCTGTCAGGCTGCCCCTTAGCAAAGAGAGTAACGGTTCCTAACAGATGGTGTCAACGTCACTGGACCATCCTAAACTTGGGTCTCCTTGGTTCCTGGGCCCATATAGGGACCTGCTAGGACTAGAGGAAGACTGACCGAACCTGTGGCTCTGCTACTGTGGTTCTGGGTCATTCCCTACGTTAGACACCAAGATGCTCCACTGACCACTATCCCACCCTAGACCTCAGCCCAGCAGAGTGTTGATGCCCTTGGAAAACAGGACCTTCCAGACATCCAGTCTTTCTGGAAAGGGCGGGGGCATTGAACAACCCCTCCTCCATTGCAAACTAACACAGCAGACTCTGCCCTGAGCGAGACATGGGGTGAGCAGTAGTGTATGTGAACTTGTGTGCAGAATTATATGTGCATGGATGAATATGTACTCACGTGAATGAATGTGTGTACTGTATATACACATATTGTGTATGCATGTTGACTGTGTAAATACATGTGCCTGTGTAAGGGTGCAGGTGTACATATGTACACTCTGCACATATGCATATATCTAGAGGTTGTATGCAGGTGTGTGATCCACTGTGAGTATGCTCTGTGCCCAAGATGGGGTATGTGCATTACATGTGCCTGTGTTGACATGAGGTTCTGCATTCTCTGCCTATATATCATATGTGCTAATGAAGTTGTTTGTCAGCATACAATGCACACATGAACATAGGTGTGCACTGCTGTGTGTGTGTGTGCGTGCAAACTTGTCAGTGGCTGTCTGCAGCCACTCACTTTTAGAGCTGTCTCTACAGAATAAAGTCACTGAGACCTGCTCCTGCCCTGTGGCTTAGCAAAGAGAAGAAATACAGAAACCCCAGCCCTGCGAGTAGCAGTCAGGGCTTTCAAGAAGCTGGGAGTAGTTTACCTTGCTTCTCACTCAGAAATGCAGACATCCAGATTATGGTGGGGGTGGGAATCAGGGGTCATGTTGATCTAGGAAGCAGGAAGAGATCCCGGAGGCTCTGGACCTGTGGGCTGAGCTCAAAGTAATGTCTCTTTCACCACAGAGTCTTTATTCTTCCTCCATCAGAACACGGTGTCCAGTCCGGTGATTGAGGCTCCCTCTGTCATCCCACGTCTCTCCTCCTCCCAACAGGAAGGGCTGTCATCACCCACACACACTCAGAACGGGAAGTGGGATGATGCCATCCAAGAGGGTTCCTCAGAGTCTGAGTCCCCAGGAAAAGCTGAGAGAGCTCGTGGATTTAAGGTGGGCTCATGGGTGTGGATTTGTCAGCTGGGGATGCCATAGCCTAGGACCCTAGACAGAGGCCTAAACAGCATTTATGTCTCAAAGTTCTGGAGGTGATGGTCCAAGAGGGCTCCCATAGGAAAGAGTTCTAAAGAAAGTCTTTTCCCAGTTGGTAGGGGTCACCTCGTTGTGTCCTCATGTGGCAGAGCACTGATTCATTCCCATCACAAGAACCCACCTTCCCAGCCTCATCTAATACAAACCTTCCACAGGGTCCCTCTCCCCATCATCCCACTGCAAGCCAGAGCTCCACATGGACACTGAGGGGACACCTGTGAGACACCTGTGTCCTCCCATCTGTCATGTTACACACAAGCATAGGTTCACCTACATGTGTCTCTGGAATGCAGTAATTCCTGCTGTCTGTCACTGCAAACGCAATGAGCAGAGACCAGAATGGATTCTTTGCATTGTGCTATACCCGAGAGCTGGCAATCCGGGAAGCCAGGGGAGACAGCTTTGTCTGTGCTATCTCTCAATGGTTTACTTTATAGGAAACCAGGACATGGGCAATACTCATTCCAAAATCTTGTCCTTCTGGCTAGATGCTCAGCCTTGTCTCTGAGCTTTGTGTTGTCGCTGTTTTCCCCTGTCTTTTCCCTCGAGGCCTGGGGGCACACACGCACCTGGGGGCACACACACCTGGAGCGCACACACACCTGGGGGCACACACGCACCTGGAGGCACACACACCTGGAGCGCATATGCACCTGGGGACACACACACACGCACCTGGGGGCACACATGCACCTGGGGACACACACGCACCTGGGGGCACACATGCACCTGGGGACACACACACACGCACCTGGAGGCACACATGCACCTGGGAACACACATGCACCTGGGGGCACACATGCATCCAGTCCACTGCCCCTAGCATTTCTCCAGAATGCTCCTTTCCTTTACATTGCCTCTAGGTTCTCCGAATAAACACAGTTTGAGGATTCAATTCCGTCTCCACAGCAACCAGCATCCTGGGGCTGGTATTATGATTATATAAGACTCATCAGTGATCTTACTGAGGATGGCTCTCTCTCCAGCTCCCCAGCTCTGCCACTGCCTCTGTGAAGTGAGTCAGGGAAAGAGCGTCTAAAGCACTCCTGAGGCCACAGTGGCCCTGGGTGGATCTAACCTTATCAGGGTCATATGAGATCCAGGTCAGGCTGTGGCAAACAGCACGAAGATTTGCAAGACTGGTTCTATGTGACTTGAGACCAACTCTGTCCCCAACCAGCTTGTTGCTTCAAGAGAGGCTACCTTCAAGGACAGAGGGATAGATTCTGTGAGTCTACCCTGTGGGGCTTACCTAGGCACCCTGATCTACTGACTGACTCATGTTCTGCCCTCTGGACCTTCCATGGCTCCCTCTTCCCAATGTCTCCCCAGCTGCTCCTCCTCTTGTTCCCCACTTCTCCTCTTCCCCCTTCTCTTCCTCCTCTCCTCTCATCCCCTCCTCTTCCCTCCTCCCCCACTGCTCCTCCTTCTCCCTCATCACTGGTAGAGCCCAGCAGTAGAAAGCATCCGTCCTGAGTGCTTACAATCCAAGAAAACAAGGAGTCTGAAGCCCCTAGAACAGGGTGGTCTCACCCACCCTAATGAAACAACAATCTAGAGATTGCTAAGGTCAGATGGCAGGGCATAGCTGTCCTTGGCTCTGCAGTGACCACCATCTATCATTAAGAACCAAAGATATCAGAGGAAGAGACAGGAACCCCAAGCTCAGTTCCTTATGACATTCCTGGACCTTAAGGCTTAGAGGGGTGCTCAGAACCCCACCATATTTAACTCCTGACTCCTTCCCAGAAGGCTGTAGGGCCATTTCTAATGTCAGCTGCCATCCTCCCCCGACACATTGAGCTTTAGATCCTTCCCAGGAAGTGTGGAGTTGGGCCTGACATCGACTGCCTTCTTCTGAATCCGGGCTCCCGGGCTCCTGTTTTCATTCATAAGCCAAAAGTCACGTACAAATAAATGCCCTTGACCCAAAAGCCTGACATGGCTTCTGAGAGCTGAATTTGGATGCTCTGGAAGAGTAGCATGTGCTCTTCGTGAGCTATCTCCCCAGCCCCAAGGTCTAGATTTTAGTGTATGTGTCATGAAAGTAGAAAACCAGGAAAACATAAGAAGAGGAAATGTAGGAAGGTTGAAACATGAAAGCGGAAAGCAAGAGGGAGGCGGGGGAAGGAGAATGAATGAGAGCAAAGTATAATTAAGAATATGCACAGAGCTTGGCATGATGGTGCACATCTTTAATCCCATCCCTATGGAGGCAAAAAAAAGTACATATGAAAATAAAAACTTTTAAAAGATTTTTATTTGTAATTGAATGTATCTCTGGGCAGGTGGTACGTGTGTGTGTGTGTGTGTGTGTGTGCAATGCCCACAAAGGCCAGAAGAGGCTGTTGGATCCCCTGGAGCTGCAGTTACAGGTGTTTGTGAGACCCTCAATATGGACGCTGGGGGCGAAACTTGAGTTCTCTTGCAGTATGCACTGTTAACCACTGAGCCATCTCTCTAGCTCCCAAAATAAAGAAGCCCAGTTTCAAAGAAAGGAACAAAATGGGATGAGCCTATGGTCTATGCTCAGCCTCCCCAGGGTGAAGTGAGGGTGAGCGTCAGACTTGGCCAGGCAGGTGGGAGTTTGCTGGGATTGGAGGATGCAAAGGCAGCAGTCACAGCTCGGGCTCTGTGCAGTCAGTCATCACTGGGCTACAGTCACCCAACACCCACTGAATGCCACAGCCACCACCTGGAACAGCATTCCAGCATCTGGAAGACTCTCAAGGCAAAGGGGTGAGCGGAGGATGACTGGCTGTCACGGCAGGATTGTGTGTGCACAGGAATCTGTGGGCAAGAACACGGTGCTGAGGGGCCTGGCAGCCACCTCTGTCATGAATTCATATGAGGCTCCTTGCCCTGGTTGCCCTGGACTCTAAAGAGGGTAGAGCTGTGTGGTCTCCATTTGGAGTGTCGACTGGAGTCTGTATGCTCTGGGAGCTGTCTCGGTCTGCTGGGGACGCTGCACACCCAATGCTGGCAGGAAGCCCACAGGCACCGGGGATGAGGACATCTAGGCATCTTCTCAGTTGACTTTGCAGACCACGTGGCCAGACACGGGTATGCACACACACACACAGGCACACACACACACATACATGCACACACATATGCACATGCACACACACACACATGCACACACACATATGCACATGCACACACACGCACCCACATTTCCTACGTGAACCAGCTGTTTCATGGGGCAGAATGGGGGACATGACAATAAGAGCCCGAGGCTGTGTAGTACCGTCTTTCGGAAGAATGGTGGCCTGCTTGGTGAGCCGCAGGATATGGCACGTGTCCAGGAACTCTCGCAGACTCAGGAAGCTGGAGATGTTCTGTCTGTCTGAGTTGGGGACAGAATCACAGCAGCAGGAGTGCCCCTTAGACATTTGGAGGGTGGTATCCTAATCTTTCATGCTCTCCTTCACTGTCATTTTGTGCCTGGGCCCCATTTCCAAGGCTAGGAGATAGGGTCACCCTGCAGTCTGTCCCTACAAACAGCCCTCCCCCGGGCATATCCAGGTTGGCTGCATTCAAAACATGCCTCTCCTCTGCTCTGTCCACAGACCCCCTCTGCAGCCCAGGCTCGGTGCCCCTCCTCCTGGCCACCTCACTTCCTCCCCCTCCCTAATGCTTTCCCTAAACACTCCCTTTGTTCACACTGGATCAGGCCACCTATCCTAAGCCTCCATTTCCCAGAGTTCAGCACTCACAGCCCGCACCTCAACCTCCTCTGAGGCAGCATCCCAACACTAACACACAAGGCTGTCCTATCCTGCAGCCCCTGCATCTAGACCCTCCTGGTGAGGGTCTCCCCTTGACTCTGCAGCTGCCACCTCCAACCCTACACACAGCCCTTCTCAGATGGCCCTTCACCAACCGCCCTCCCTCCCCATTGGCCAGCCTTTCCTCCTCTTCACCCTCCCTCACCTCTGTGTCTCTGGTCCCTGAGCCCTCCACCACCATGGTGCTGACACCCACAGGTGACCACACAGCGTACTCACTGAAGAGCAGCAGGCTCTTGTAGTTGTTGCCTGCACGGCCCAAGCGGAGGTAGACCAGGCCGTACGTGTAGTCGGTGGACAGCACATGGAAACCCTTTATCCCCTTCACTACAAGAGAAGCACAGCAGCCACTGGTGCCTGGACACCCATGCCCACCCACAGTACAGAATCTGGTGCCCAACACATCAGCTGGTCCAGCACGGTCTTTCCTCATGGGCCTCACCTCCCAGGCCAGGTCACTCAGCCAGTTGTGGGACCTCAGCCACCCTGCTCGCCCATCCTGGGTGTCCGGCCACTGGCTCAGTTTCCCATGGCCCAGGCATCTTACTCACAGGTATTCCTGAACACAGGCTTCTTTCTATCCTTCTTCAGGGTCGTCTCCATGGACTGACACCCCTGAGGCCTGGGGGACAGATGTGAGGAGCTGTAGCCAGAAGGCCACCTTCCACCACCTTCCACCACCAACTTCTCCAGCTCTACTCACAACTGCCCCTGGAGCCTAGGGGTGGGGGTCAGGGGTCAGGGTGGCCAGTTTGGGTGGGGTCCACTCCCAGCATCCCTTCCCCCGTGCCATGTATTTCCCCCAAAATCAGCCCTTAGGTCTCAGGGAAGGAAGAAGTAGTGAAACCATCTGTCTGGGGACCCCACTCTGCTTACTGTCGGCCCCTTCTTCCCAGAGAGAGGCTGCCCCTGGCCAATCTGCAAAGGGCGTACCAGGACCACTGCCACATCGTGTCCCCTCACCGGCTGAAGGCGATGACCACCTTGAGCTGTCCTGTTTTGTGCACCTTCACCACAGACGCCCCCAGCTTCCTCTTGTCCCTAGCCGGCAAGAACCCCCGGGTGTCCGTGGCGATGGCAATAATGTACCAGAAGCCTGAAAACTGCATGGGCGGCGGGGGAGGACGGTGTTGGAGCTGCCGCACCATGCTGCCCGTCCAGGCTCCCAGCTAGAGAACAGACCCAGCAAGTGGCCCTTTCCCAAGACCCAGACCACATCTGTATCTGCAGGTGGACACTACCCTGTCCCAGGCTGAAGAGAAGCTGGCGCTTAGCTGGTCAGGTGCCCAGGAGTCTGAAGCCCGGGCTGTGTCTACCCTACCCACCCCAGCGGTTCCTTCCCTCTTGGCCTCCCTGTAACACCGACGCTCAGCCACTTTCTCTCCTACTTGTCCCTGGGCCGCTAGCTGCCAGCTTTTCCCTGATGCATACTCTTTGATCCTAATAACTCTGTGTGTGTTTCTTAGATTGTCCACCTCGCCTCTGCGCCCACAGCCACCCCACCGGCAATCTTCCGCTTCAGGGCACCTCTAATGCTTGCCCCTCCATCCCACTGTTTTTTGCAGCAGAGGTATCTCCAAGAGGTCCCAGGGCTGGAGCAGTGGCCGGAGAGGACAGGTAACCAACACAGCTGGGCTCAACAGATGCCGTGTTCTGCCCTCCTGCTGAGGACATTATCCCAGATCACCCCACAGTTGGAACTCTGGTCCTAAGTGGCCTTTGTACCCTGTAACCCTAATACGTGATGAAGGTACCAGGGGGCATGAGGCTTACCTTGCCCCAGTTGAGGGCGTGGGCCTCCTTAGGGAAAAACGCCTCTGTCCAGGACACCACAGCCAGAGCTAGGGCTGTGGCCAGGGCCATTTCCAGCTTCATCCTTAGCAGCTCTGAGTTTAAAGCTGTATCTTTCCGTGCCTGTCCTGCTGTGGTGTCAGACCTACCTTGGAGAATCGGGCTGCTGGGACGGGAAGGCGTGACTTCAAGCTCTGCCCCTCCTTCTGAGAACTTCACCCAGGTCGTGGTTGGTTACAAGAGACTTTGCCTGCCTGGGAGGTCCCTGAAGATGGATACCATCCTGTTCTCAGAGGCCATATGGAGGCTGGTTCTCACATCCCTCACTCCCGAAGGGCTAGAACTACACACATCTGCATACCATTGCAGTCTGGGCTGTCTCACCTAGCACCGGGTCCCTGGGACTCCCGTAACCCTAGCCAAAGAGGGGAGGCGGAAGCCTAGGGTGTTTTCTGGGACTAGACTCTTGGGCAAGTGTGCAGACAAGAGGGATGAAAACAGTGGCCTCTAGGCATAAATTTTGGAACTCCCTATGGAAGGCTATTTATAGTGCCTGAGGAGCTGCTGATGACTGGGCCAGGAGAAAGAGAGACAGAGAGAGAGAGACAGAGAGAGAGAGAGAGAGAGAGAGAGAGAGAGAGAGAGAGAACTGATGTGTGCCCAAGCTTTGAACTCCCCCCACACACACACACGTTACTTTCTAATAGGTGACTTTGTTCCACCATTTCCTGACCAGATACCCCATTTGCAATGAGGGCCCATAGGCTCAGGCCTTTGGGAATTCCATACACCACCGTGCCCACACCCAACCAACAGCCAGAGCCTAGGTATAGAGGAGCTAGGGCCCTGGGGGCACCTCCCTGCTGGGAAGCTCACAGATACTGACCTAACTCCCCTGCCAGCCAGTCTGTGAATTCTGTGTCCTCCCGCCAGGCCGCCTGTGGATACTAACCCCCTATAAGTTGTTGGCGGATGCTATCTGTGCTTTCCTACTGTGCAACGCTCAGTGTTTCTTCCTACTAGGTAGTACATAGGTGTTTGGACCCGGTCCTTGGATTCTGGTGGTCCAGGGCTGTCTTGATAGTGTTCTGACATATAGCTCTGGTCTAGCCCAGGCACCTCAGCTTTTGCCATTCTTGGTGGCTACATCCTGTCCCCAGTGAAAAGTCAGCATCCCTGTCTTCAGGCTCAAGAATTCTCACAAGGTATTTTAGAGTATCAAATTCTTTTGTCCCTGAGCTGGCTCTGTGGTTCCATGGTCTGCTCTCTGGCTATGTCCTCTTCCACAGCACAGGAACCATCCCACCCCCAGAGAAGACACATTGTGGCAGGTTTACTTGTGAAGTCGCTTTATTTTCAACCACAGCCTGAGCCTAGGGGAGCAGAGAACCAACACCCAGCACCACTAGCCGCGGAGTAAAGACAGTGCCTGTCCACCTCCACCAGGATGTGAGGATGTGATGCTATCTCCGGGGCGGGGCGTCACTGAAAACCAGGGCAAGAGTTGGCGAGGTGCTTAGGAAAGCCTTCATCCTCACCTTCAGTGACCTTCCCACCAGCAGAGTCGTGGGCTTTGAAGAGGGTCCACCCAAAGCCCCAGGCGCTATCAGCTCCCCAAGGAGCCAAGAGTGGTGCAAAAAAGGTGGCCTACCTGGAGGATCTTGTGTGCACACGTGACTGTAAGAAAAACCAAGCCAGTTGTGAGAACAGGGCTGCAGCAGCTCCCAGGATCCTACCCACAAGCCTCTTCTAAGGAGGCTGTTCCTCCAGACTTGACTGTATGACAGGCGTGGGTGATCCCCTGAAGCACCCACAAACCAGTCGAAGCAGAAGACAACCACCTCCACCACCCCAGCCACTCCGTGTGTGTGTGTGTGTGTGTGTGTGTGTGTGTGTGTGTGAGAGAGAGAGAGAGAGAGAGAGAGAGAGAGAGAGAGAGAGAGAGAGAGAACTGCCTGCGCCCCCCTGTGGCCAGTACTAGTAACACTCACAGTCCTTCCGCAACTGGGCCTGCTGTTGGGCCCGGAAACCCAGACCCTGGCTCCATTTGGTGAACAGCTTCATGGCCTCATAGCTAGCCACCTCTGTCCGACCTGGGCATGAAGGAGCAGCCTCTGAGAGACGGTCAGAGTGTGGAGAGTGTGACTGTGTCCCCCGACCCTTTCTTTACCCCAATCCCTAGCAAACTTCATGGTAGCTGGGGCTTGTCCCTGTATGTTCCCTACCGGGGGCTATGGACACAGAGTACCTATGTCTGGGGCACCAGGGACCCTTAGCAACCTTGCCTGTCCCCACTTACTGTACAGCTCCACTGTGTTGAAAGCCTCATCCCCAAACTCCAGCTGTGTGAAGACGACAGCGTAGTCCTTGAAGTTAGTGCCCAGCACCCGATAATCCAGCACGCCAATAGCTAGAGAGCAAATGCAAGATCCAGGGCGGCAGGGGGAATTGGAGCATCATGTAAGTCAAAATGGGGAGCATATCCAAACCCTATTCAACTTCAGCAGAGGTCTCAAGCTGTCCCCAGTCCCCTGACCCCTACACTGTGCCAGCAAGAAGCAGTTCTCAGATGCTGGTGGACAGACATACAGATGATTGCTTGCCCCAGCTCAGCCCAGGGTGACTGAGAGCAAGCGGGTCACCCTCTACCAGTCTCATCCTTTGCGGGTAGAACACTACTTTCCAGGCACCCCGCCCTCTTAACTCATGAAGAAGCCCAGGGATAGAGACTAGGACCCCCCAAACACGTGCATCTGGGCACACAGGGGTGGGGAAATGAGGCCTAAGACCTCTGTTCAGGGGCCTCTCTCCTCTGAGGATTGACTCCAGGGCCCTGACTGTCAGATCCTTTATCGACCCACAGAACGGTGCCAAGGGCTCTTGAGCAGAGTGATCTCCTTCCCGCCAGGCCTGGCCCTGCCAACTGCAGCCTGGGAATACACAGGAGCGGGCCTTCATGGTGATCGGGTGAGAAGGTCCCAGGGGCATCACACTCACAGGGGTTCTCAAACACCCATCGAGAATTCTGCTTCAGCAGCTCCACCGTGCTCTGACGACAACCATCTGGCCTAGGAAGCAATGGCAGGAAAGCCTCTGAGACAGACATAGGCCCGCCAGCGGGGAAGGCCAAAAAGGGGGTTCACATTTCATGACGCCTGGGTTACCCAGAAAACCCACCCTGGGGCCTGAAAGGCACTCATTATTCCTTTCGTTTCCCAAGGGATCCACACTGTTGGGTGCTGAGGACTCAAGAGACATCAGCCTGTGGTTCAAGTGAGAAGACACTATCCAGACATCCCCTGAGGCCTCACCCTCTGAGGTGAGAAAACACAAGAGAAGCACAGCAGGATCTGCTAGACAAAACATGACTGCAGAGCTGGGAACAAGACACCTACAGTGAGCAATGCCCGGGAGGCTCTGGAGGAAAACAGCACAAGCTGGTCCAGCAGACCAGGAGGTGCACCTCACACCCACAGCAAAGTCTGGGTCAATGAACAGATCACAGGAACAGAAGAGAAAGTTAAAAACAAAGAAAATTTACCCAAACGTGTACATCTGACAACGGTTATAAACTAAGTCATAATTCAGCAATGTAGGCTGCACAGCCACCTGAGTGTACCTCACACTTTCTCACCAGGCCAAGTTCTAGACACACCAAAGATTCAAGACTTCCAGACACAGAAAGGGAAAGGAAACCCCCACCCCCACCCTGTGTCCTGGCAACCAGAGCCCTCAGACACAAAGGCCGCTGTGCACACAAAACAAAACTAAAAGGCACTTCAGAGACACAAAGTCCCCCTCGAACCTGGAGAAACGGCCAGGCAGTTCAGAGCACTCGCTGGTCTCACAGAAGACCCGGCTTTGGTTCCCAATGCTCACACGGTAGCTCACCACCATTCCTAACTCCAATGTCAGAGGATCTGATGCTCCTTTCTGCCCTCTATGGAATCAGGCATGCACATGGTACACAAACATGCATTCGGGCAGAATATTCACACACATAAGTTTTTTCAAAAGCCTCCCAACATCAGAAAACAAACTGGGAAGTAGCTCTGTAGCTAGTTTGGTTTTTTGTTTTGTTTTGTTTTGTTTTTGTGTTTGTGACTCAGTATCAGAAACATGAGTCAGATGTGCAGAAATAGCTACACCTGCCATGCCAAGCCCTGAGGGGTGGAAGTGGGGGGATCATGAGTTCAAAGTCATCCTTGTCTGCTGCCTGTCTCAGTGGCTCAGGTCCTCACTAAGCAGCCAGCCTGGTACACCAAATGAGGCACATTTAAGAGACATTCATCTCACTTCCCCACAGCTCCCACCAGGTGCCTCAGGGACTGCTGTGTGTTACTTCACTAGACAAGGCCAGCTTGACCCTACAGGCTAGACTGGCCTGAGGCTTTGGTGACCTCCTTCTGAAGAGATCAATGCTTGCAGCTAAGCCAGTGGCCCTGAGGACCAAACGCTCCACAAGACTCAAAGAGAAAAAGAACAAAGGAGTATCAAGTCATGCCCTCAGAGGCCAGGGACAGAGATTCACAGGCTGGCAGAAAGTGGATGAGGCAGACAGAGCCCACTAGGGAAAGGAAGAAAGGGCAACAGAAGCAGGGAACATTCCACTGCGGGGACCTCAGGAACAGAGGAGACTAACCCGGGGAGCACAAGGGAATGGGGAGCACGGAGAGCCAACCATGCAGTCAGGAGCTGTTCTGCAGAATCCAGTCCTCTCTCAGAAGGAGGGAGACAAAGCCTGCAGCCCCTCTGGGGAAGGTCTCTTGCTGAGGAAGCTGAAACAGAGTCCCCAGCTCAGGGGTTGCCAACTCACCCCTGCCGGGAAGACAGAACTCTCAGCTTGTTGTCCGGAGTGAGAGTCACCAGGACGCCTTCTACATTCTTCATGTCCTTCTCCACCATGAAGTCCTTGGCACGGGAGGCCATTGCCAGGATGTACCAGGGCCCAAGGAACTAGGGGAAGCATTGGCTGAGATGCTGGGCTCTCCTCCTTCAGAGCAGTTAAAGAACTCCCTCACCTTTCACACAGTCTAACTCCCTCAACCCATGCTTATCCAGATTGACTCTCGGGGATGCAAATGCTGTGCACCTCAAAGGTAGGGCCTGGCCCGAGGACCTGCTGCCCAAGAAGGCTGTTACCTGCTTAGGATCCAGCCTTCCCAGCCACAGGGCCTGGACCTGGGACATAGAAACCAAAGCAAGAAGAGCGGCCGCCAGAAACACCACCTTCATGCTTCCGGAGGCCACCGTGCAGTAGGCCGGGATGTGCCATCTCCCACCAGGAAACAGTTTATACGACTCTAACTGCCTCAGTGTGGGTGGCCACTAACTGCCAGGACAGCATTCTGACCTCTCACAAAGCAAAATCACTCAGAGTGTGGAGGGCGGTGTTAAAGTGTGCTGGTCTTGGTGTCTAGCAGAGGCAAGAGAGGCCCAGGAACCTGTTCTAATCAACAGCACAGTGCCCACTCCCCAGCAAGTTCCAGAGTAAGCCTCCTAAAGCTGTCCACCCTGTCTTCTCCCCTCCTCAGGAACAGTATTCTTCCAAGCTTCTCTTCTCCTGATCCGTGCAAGTCCAAGCTGAGGTTAAGTCCTAGTCCCAGGTTGGCCAAGTTAAAGGAGTCTGTCCAGAAACCGTAGTTTCAGACAACTTTTGTCTCAATCATTAAAAATACAAAAAGCCACCCCCAAAGACTTCATTTTAAGCTCCATTCCCACCTTCAATGGCCACACAGCCTTCTGCTTTGCTGGCCTGTGACCTCCCACTGGCTCTAACAGGCAGCCCTGCAACCAGTTTAGTTGTCCCTCTGTCCCCGCTGTCCCCCTATCTGGACATATTCATTTTCCATCCATCTCCAGCTGGGCCACATCTATGTGTCTGCACTCTAAGACCAAATCCTGACTGACTTCAGCCAGACCCTGTTAAGTATTTTCTCTTAGAGGAACCTCTCTGCCAATGGAAATAATCCCAATCAAACTGAATCAAACCAAATTAAAAGATGCCCATTTTTAATAGATGAGAAAACTCCCAGGTAGCCCCAGAAAAATATGCAAAGGGGAAGAGAGAGAAAAGGGGAGACCACACAAAACACAGAGACCACATGTTCATTCTTTGGGGGGCACTTTAAATAGTCTGTGGGAGTGGGCTCAACTTTCCCTGAGGAGGGGATACCCTTTGGAGGGCTTTCTTGACCCTCCTGGGAGGCAGCACCATTTGGCAGGCTTTCTTGGAGGGGGAGTTTGGACTGAGGTAACTCCCAGGGGAGGGAGCTTATGACAGGAGCTGGGGTGAAGCCCCAAGCCAAACAATCCTTTATACAAACCCTTTTGTATAGAGGGTTGTTAGGGAGCTGAAGGTGATGCTTTAGACCAAAAATACCCTAAACCCCCTCAAACACTGTCTGTAGCCTGGTCCCCAAGACTCCCCTCCTGATTCCTGTCCACAGCCTGGTCCCAAAGGCTCCCCTCATGATTGCTGTCCATAGCCTGATCCCCAAGACTCCCCTCATTGCTGTCTGCAGCTTCAGCTATCCAACACAAAGTCATTGGAGCTAATAACTGGAGCAGAAGTTCTGGGTGGGGTTTATCAGACCCACCATACTCAAGAGGTGGGGAGGTGGTAGGCGGATCCTCCTGCCTCCAGCCAAGACCGCAGCCACCCACCCCATGAGACTGGGTCATCATCACAGATGCCCTGCGCACTTCTGCACAAGGCTGCAGGTCTTCAGGACCCAGAACAGAGAAGAGTGAAGCTCACGCTTCGCCTCCTTTTCACCCAGCCCCCGACCATCCCCATCCTCAATCCAAGCCAGCCTTGAGGACCCACGGGTGCAATGTGTCCACAGCTTGAGTCTCTGCAGAAAAGACATCCTAATAAAGCTCCCTGCTGGCGCCTGCTGGGGACGGGTAAAGGTGCACACGCCAGACCCTGGGTAAACGTCAGCGAAATGGTCTTCCGTCCAGCTTGGTGACCCAGAGTCAGACCTTGAACCTGGATTAGGATGGCTCCTGGCTGCCGACCTCCCAGACACCTGACAGAAGAAAAGTAAGATATCTCTTAGAAGACAATTGCTCCAAAACTCCCATCTTAATCCTCAGATCAATGCTGTCAATCATTTTAAAACGTATATTCCAGCCAAAACACATAGGCCTAAGACAACAGAATGAGAAGCAGCAGGGGGAAAACAGACAGGAAAAGCAGTGACTGTGCCTGGATCTCCCACGGCAGACTGGAAAGAGCTCTAGGGACAGTACTCACGGGCGAAGCCACCTTCGGAGGGTCTCAGAGGAACAGGAAATGAGAGAAGGTGGTATAGGAAAAAAAAAGTCCATGAGAGTCTGGTTAGGTTGGTGCCTGAATTTCTTCACCACCTTGAAAAAGTTATGCTGCCCCTAAAGACGAAAACTGCAGCCATACCTGCCATGTAAAATACTGCCAGGCTGTGGCAGCAAACTCCTTTAATCCCAGCACTCAAGAGACAGAAGCAAGGGAATCTCTTGAGTATTCAAGGCCATCCTGGTCTAGAGAGTGAGTTCAACTACAGCCAAGGCTACACATAGAAACCTTGTTTCAAAAATCAAAAAGAAAAGAAAGAACAAAGATTTTACTACAATCTTATGTATTGATAATACAATGATTATCTGTAAACTTTAAAATTTAACCTACAGCAATCTTTCCCAGGGGCTGGAGAGATGGCTCAATTTGCAGCTCTTCCAGAGGATCAGAACTCAATTCTCAGTACCCTGTTTTGGCTTCTGAGGGCATCCACACAGACATGACATACACACGCACACATGCACACACACCCACACACTCACACATCAAATAGAATACAATAAATCTTCAAAATAAAAAGAATCTTCTTTCAGGAGTCTAGAGCTTCATAGAGTCCTGTGGGGGTCCAACCTTGTGCAGAGGGGAGAAGAGCCAAGGCCAAGCTAAAAGACGCCACAAAAGAAGCTGAAAGAACAGGCACCAACTTCAGAGAGCACATGACTTACATAAATGTTCCAGAAAGGCAGAGTTTAACTGCTGGTAGGATGCAAAAAGCAAAGGATCAGTTGAGAGTCCCAGGAATAAGTGTGTCCTAAACCACCAAAGAGATGTGAACCAGACACTGCACTATCTCCACTACACCCTCACAGTTCAACAAGATGGTACGAGGAGTGGCCGGGTTAGGAGAAGTTATGAGGCTAGAGCCAAAATAGGATTGATGCGCTGATAAGAACATGAAGGAGAAGGAGCTGTTCCTTCTATCTGTCTGTCTTACTATGTTTGTATCTGACTTTTTGTATCTCTCTCTCTCTATCACACACACACACACACACACACACACACACACACACACTTATGCACACACACAGAGTTAACCCTCCCCTGGAACTAATAGGACCTTTTTCCCAAATCATGAGAAACACGTTTCTGTTGTTTAAATGCTCAGCCTACAGCATTCTGTGGTGGTATCCAGAGCTGACTCCCGACAGCTACAGTAAAGAAGCTGAGCACACACATGCACAGAAACACTCACAGATCAGGTGTGACTCTGCTGAACCACCTGCCAACCGGGCCCATGAAATGAATACAAGCTGGCCTATAAAGATATCTTTATCTCTACTTAAACTACTATAAAAAGATACCAAAAAAAAAGAATTAAAAAAAATTATAACAACACTCTAAGCTGAATTGAATGTACTAACATATACACAGTGAAAGGATCAGTATTGGCATATGACACCCCAAGACCAAGTTCTCAGCACAAAGAGATGTATTTGTCCCAGAGGAACAAAGGGCAGGGAATAAGAGATGAAGGCAGGAGGTAGAAGAGGGGGAAGGGGAGGGAGAAAGAGATGAGACATTTGTCCCAGAGCGACAAGGACAGCCTCTAGATAGAGAGGAGGCAGAAGTGGTCACAGGCAAATGACAGTTTATAAAGGAAAAGGGAAATCATGTGTTAAGATGAGGTGTTTCATTTTAGTTGGGCATGTTAATTTGGTGAGCCAAAGGTGGCCTCTGATTGCAGCTCTTCCAGAGGATCAGAACTCAATTCTCAGTACCCTGACTCAATACTTTGAGAGCTGGAACTTGGTGGTCAGCCTCAGGAGGAAGGATTGACCAAACTGGGGAATAGACCTTGGTGGCTATCTTAGGAATGTAACCTAACAGCTTTATAAGGCAGAAGGAAGAGGGATGAGCAAGGCCTACCAGAGCCGTGATCACCATGCTCTGGCCTGTTAGAGCCCTTTAGGCGGCTATTATCCCGAGACATCCCAGGAAGAGGGAATCTTACTGAGAAAATATCTCCATCCAGATCACCTGAGGATGCCCATAGAACATGTCCTTGATTAATGGTGGATGCAGGAGGGCCCAGCCCGATATGGACACTCCCACCCTGGGCAGATGCCCCTGGGTTGTGTAAGGAAGCAAGCTGAACAAGCTAGGGAGACAAGCCAGTCAGCAGTATTCTCCAGAATTCCTGCTTCAGTTCTTGCCTCCTGGTTTCTGTCTTGAGTTCCTGCTCTGACTTCCCACAGCAGAGTGGGACCTGAGAGTTAGAAACCAAAATAAACCTGTTCCTCCCAATGCTGCTTTTGGTCATGGTTTTTTATCCCAGCACCCAGAAAGCCTAGCTAAGAAAAGTAGTGAAGAAAGTATGGGCTGGAGAAATTGCTCAGTGTTTTAGAATACCTACTGCTCTTACACAGGATCTGGGTTCAGTTCCCAGCATCCATATCAGGCAGCTCTCTACTGCCTGGAACTCCAGCTCCAGGGATTCTGACACCCTCTGGCCTCTGGATACCTGAACACACCCGGTGCACACAAGCTCATGCAGCCACATACACAAACACAAACAAAATAAGCAAATCTTTTTTATTGATAAAGAAAAATCTCTCAGGGTCATCAAATAAAATGAACAAATAAGTCTCAAGAGTGCCTGAGACCCCCAAGAGTGAATGAGACCCCCAAGAGTGACTGAGATCCCCCAAGAGTGACTTTCACAAGCATGAAAGAGGTCAGGCACGCAAGCCAGTGCACTATAGAGATGCAGGAATGGGTTGTCTTTACAAGGGGCAATGACTGGAATCTGACCTGATTTTTGTTTCTTTCCACCGTGTAAAAATGTCCTTTTGTCTTCTCCTGGATTGCCCCTCCTATCTCGGAACACAGGCCCCTGCATCCCTGTCTGCCGCACGCTCCTGACTTTTCCTATTGCTCCAAGCACTGACTCTGCTGTGCAGAGTGCGCTATCCCTGTGTATGAGTTTCTTTTATGAGTTTTCCTGTTTTTTTTCTTTTGGTTTTTCAATATAGAGTTTCTCTGTGTAGCTCTGGCTGTCCCAGAAATCGCTCTGTTGACCAGGCTGGCCTTGAACTCAGAGATCTGCCTGCCTCTGCTTCCCAAGTGCTGGGATTAAAAGTGTGTGCTTTTTTATTTTATTCTGCTCGTGTCCCCTAAGCTTTGGGAGTCTCTAAGTTGACATTTTCATCAAGTTTAAAAATAACTTTGTACTTACAACTTTATAAATATTTTTATCTATATAAAATTTGTAACTTGGTATTATCCAAAACTTGTGCCTTAAGATAATGCGGTGATTAACTTTGTCAATGAATTAGATAAGTGAGCACCTCTGGCCTCAGTTAGGTACGTCTTTGGGGTGCATCTCTGAGGTGTTTCCCAGAGGTGTAACCTGGAATGGAGGTCACCGTCCCATGTGCTGAGGCCTCCTGGACTGCACACACAGAGAGGAAGAAAGAAGCTGTTGCTGGCATTTCAGTGTCGCCGCCTGACCGCCTGTCAAGATGCGAGGAGTCCCAGCTGCAGAGCCCACTGCTCTGAAATCTGCCACGCCTTTCCCAGCATGATGGACAGGAGCCTCACAGATTGGGGGTCGACATCAACCCTTTCTTTCATAAGTTGCTTTTGTTAGGTATTTGGTCACAGTAAGAAAAGCTACTGACGCAGACACTCGATTCTAATGTGTTTCCGCACTAGTCTATTCCTCTGGCAGCTTTGCCAGTGTACATGCATGGAGAAACCAGAGGTTGTCATTCTGTCTTAATCACTCTTTACCTTTGTGTGTGTGTGTGTGTAATGTGTGTGTGTGCATGTGTGTGTGTGCATGTGTGTGTATGTGTGTATGGGGGGGGGGGGAACATAGGCTCTCATTGAACCTGGAACTCAAGAGTGTGGCTAAATGGTTGGCCAGCTCTTCTCCAGGAAACCTCTGAGGGACCTCAGTCCCTCTCTCCTCTCTTCCTCAGACTGGGACATTGACATTCATCTGTCCAATCTGATGTAAGCTCATGCAATGAGTTTCTGCTCTTGGGTTCCCTTCCTGCTCCCTGTTGCAGTCCTGCTGAGCTTCCCTCTCGGGTCTCTCACTATTTATTCATTCAGTCACGAATCCTTTCCTTTTCCGTGCCACGATTCCACTGTTCGTTTAACATGGTTATGATGCCTCATCGGCATTTCTCTTCTGAATCCAGCTTTAGTTCTTCTCAGGAGCGGGTTTTACTAAACCATTCTTTTCTTCTCCCATAGACCTTGTTTTTCTGCTTGTGTATCTACTCACCTTTCTGTGAAGCATCATTAATAATACATCATGAAATCCCAGCTGGGCGGTGATGGTGCACGCCTTTAAGCCCAGCCCTTGAGAGGCAGAGAAGGGCAGATCTCTGTGAGTTCAAGGCCAACCTGGTCTACAAAGTGAGTTCCCAGGACAGACAAAACTGTTATACAGAGAAACCTTGTCTCAAAAAACTAAGCAAACAAACAAACAAATAAATAAATAAATAAAATTTCAACCACATTCAACATTGGAGAGATGGGTCCATGGTTAAGAGCATTGGGTATTGTTCCAGAAGACCCAGATTCAATTCCAAGAACCCACATGACATCTTATAAGTGTCTACATCTCCAGTTCCAGGAGATCCAACTCCCTTTTCCTACCTTCTTGGGCACTGTATGCACATGGTGCAGAGACATACATGCAGGCAAAACACCCATACACATACAAATACTTTAAATATATATATATATGTATGTATATATAGGCCATATTATTAACAAATAGATAATATAAAAGTCCTACGTTCTGTAGTCTTTGCAAGGTATACTTTGTTAGAGTCAAGGTTGTGTGCTCCTCAGTTCTGACCCTCGTGTTACTCTGTTGGGGGTCTCCAATGAAGCCAGTCACTGTGAGTCTAAGCAAGGAGGTGAAAGTCCTTCTGAGAACAGGGAAACTGACCATACTCTCAGTCTCTGTCCCCCCACTTCCATTTCCACCGCACGGAAAGAGAGCCCTTACCTGATAGTGGACTTTCTTGTGCTTGTGTATGTGTATGTGTGAGTGCATGTGTATATACATGTGTGTGCGTTCATGTGGAGGCCAAAGGTCAACATCAGGTGTCATTCACTCCCCACTGTTTCTGATTCAGTGTCTCTAATTGGACATGGAACCCAATAACTTGGACAAAAAGGTTAGGCAACAAGCCTCAAGGATCCTACTGTCTCCACCGCCCCAACACTGAAATCACAGGTATGTACCATGCTTTCTGGTACTTTTTTACATAAGCTACAATTCTAAATGTTTGCATGGTATGTGCTTTACTAACAAAACCATGTCCCTAGGTCCTGAAAACAAACTTGCTGACCCATGATGGTGGACTGAAGGTCACATGACCATGGACTGGAGGTCACATGATCGTGGACTAGAGATCAAGCTCCAAAACTGTGCAGTGATGAACTGCGGCTGGAGTCCACAGTCTGGAGCATCTGTCATGAGCAGGAAGTGCGATCTCACGCTAAGCTTCTGGGACTTGGTGCAGGTGTGGACCAGATATGTATAAAATGACAGCACTCCCCATGCCCTTAGCATGTCAGAAGCTCACCTGAGAACGCCTCCTCGGAGGTTTCTCAGGCAGAATTTGAGAGGGACAAGCGGGTGTAGATCACCCCACATTCCTGTCTTTTCTGCCTTCCAGCTGCGGCAGCAATGTAAGAGACAAGGTGAGCAGACAGTGGCTGTAGGCCATGATATGATAGACATCATGATGGGCACTCGGGCACTGAATTTAACTGGGTGAAGAGTCAGAACTGCATGGGAGGGGCCGAGCAGGGGGACAGTAGAGGACAGCCACCTCCAGGTGACGTCATAAAAACAACAGCCAGGGATTTGATCTCCACACAGCAGGGAGTCTTAGGAAAACGGGCAGCAAAGTGGCTGTCCCACTTCCCCTTCCATTTGAGAGACCTACTGAGGACACAAGGGGAGGCCTTGTCTCTGCTTGTGGCTGCTTCCAGATTCTAAGAGGACAGGGAACTGCTTCCGAATGAAGATGGGGCTGAATCGATCAGTCGGTGGAACCTGACCAGCTCTGGGAGTTGGGTCGTTAAAGAGTATTCACAGAAAGAGTGCAGTGCATGCCACTCACGCTGGTCACTGTGGACAGAAGGCAATCAGTGGTGCACAGGTGTGCCCCCACCCCCAGAAAAGATGCTAGGCAGCATGTGGCAGCGAGGTTTATTTGGCACAGATGCAAGGAACACCTTGGGTAGGGGCAGGAGAGGTCAGGAGCACAGAGTTATGGCTTTCTCCTCACATCAGTTCCTGCAAGCAAAACAACCTGGGTCAGAGCCATGTGTGTCTTCCAGAGACCCTGAGACTCTGGTCAGGATCACAGGCTAGGGGCCTGGTATCCCAGCTACCTGGCTTCAGCAAAGCACTGGTTCTCTGAGCCTTGATCTCTCTATCTGCAAAATGAGTCATACTGTCAATATCTGGGCGCTAGGTTGCGGTAATGAGGTCATGCCGGTGGTAGACCAGCACAGTGCTGGATACAGGGAACCCTAAGACATCAAACGGGGTCTATATCTATCTTGACCGAGCTCCTGATAGCATCTGAAGAGACAGAGTCAATCAGCAATCCTGAGCATTCCTGCTGGGCAGAATATTGAGGACAAGGAGCCTGGCACCCAGCTCTGTCCCAATATCCACACTGACACCTATCCAGGCACCCACTTCCCTCCTAGGACTCAGCCTGACAGCTTGGGCTCACATTCCTGACTGCATCTCTCTCCAAACAACAAAATAGATACCTCTCTGGACCTGTCCAGCAACACTATTGAGAGGTAAAGAAGGGGTACACACACCCACTACCACCACCACCACCACCACCACCAGGGCCAGGATCTAGTACCAGAACACAAGGGCTGTGGTGTAGAATAAAGGATGTGGGCTCACCTCCTTCAGCACCTGGGATCACTTCCCTGCGGGACAGGGCAGCATGAGATGGGGTCAGGAGAGCATCAGACCCCACCACAGAGGCCTCCTCCAGTTGCTGAGGCCAGAGGACAAACTAGCCCAGATTGGACAACTAAGCCCTCTTGATCTTTGGGCAGCCTGCATTTCACAACATGCATCTGCTTGCTCCAATAAGTGTGAATAAACACACTACCCAGCTGCCCACACATACCAGGCCAGTGTAAGCCCCTACCATTACCGATGTGCTCAGAAGGCCATGGGAAAGGAGCCACCAAACCCTTGGTGCCCAGCACAGCCCCAGCTTAGTCCAGAGACTCACCCATTGATACCACGGAGGGCACACACGACACTGTAGACAAAAAGACCAAATGAAGATACAAGAAAGAGGCAGGGCAGACCCAGGTCTTCACCCATTCCTGGTATGCCCTGACCCGAGTCAGGTATACTCACAGTCATGCTTGTAAACGTGTATGCTTTCTTCTGGAAACCCTTTTGCCAAGACCTCATGCTTGAACCTTTTCAGGGCTTCATCAGTGTTGTCCAAGCTCCGGGCTGTCAGGGAGTATGGCACTGGATTTCTCTAGTTACAGACTTTCTCCCCCCCAACCCTGACACAGCCCTGGGATGCTCTCCTATCACCACCCCAGGTGGGGTGACGTATAAGAGGTGAGGAATAGGAGGGGTGACACCCATCCCAACCCCAGATGAGTCCAGGCTGGACTTACTGTACAGTTTCAAGGTCTTATAGTACGGATTTTTTGCTGGAATGCCAGAAAAGATGATGTAGAAGGTCTTGTAGTCTGTAGCCTCAATATAAAGGTTTCTGTTTACTGGGAACAGAGAAAAATTCTAGACACCCTCTCACCTTCTCAGCCATTGCTCTCAGTTCCTAGCTGAGCTTCTGTCTGGCACATATACACACACGAGCATGTACCCGAAACACATGAGCAGCCTTGAGAGGAGGGCATGGTCCCCACTGACCCAGATAAAGGAATGCTGAATCAAACCTAGGATTTCAGAGAGGAAGCTGCCAAAGTCCTGGCAAAGACAGAAGCCAGCCAGGGACAGAGGCTGCAGGGGCATCCACCCAGGCTCCTGACATCTGGGCATGGCATCTTGAGACTGAGCAGCCATGCACTGAGACCTCAGTCAGGATACACCAAACAACACCTCCAGTGAGACGGGGACCCCCACATCCAGAACAGTAATAAGTCCACACTGAGAGTAAACCACAATGCCCCAGATAGGCCACCACACCCACCAAACCTGGGACAGCATCCTTGCCTGCTCCTCTGCTGACCCTGAACTTCCCTGGACCGTCTTCTGCAAGGGCCGGCACCTTCTCCAGCACACAGCGTTTGTTACTAAGAAGACAAGAAGGTAGGCCAGCCTGTAATCCCAACTCTGGGAGGGGAACTGAGTCAAGAAGATTGCAGTTTGAGGCCAAGTAGGATGATATGCCCCTCAGGGCAGTCTAGGCTAGACAGACAATGGCGGGAAACACTGGTCCCTCAGTGGCAGGGAGTGGGCCTCTTAGGTATATCCCTGGGCATATACATCCCGCATCAGCCCAGGGAAGCCTGGGCTATACAGACAGACAAAGGGGGGGGGGGACTGAAGGAGAATAAAGGAAAAAAGGAGACTCCTAGCCTCCTGCCTGCCAGGCCTACACAGTATGCTTTGAGGTGCTACGCATGGTGGGCAACCCAGGAGTTCAGAAACCAGGCAGATACATGTGTCCTAATGTCTGCTGAGTCTATGACTCCAGAGAATAGGACCCCTACAGAGTGGCTACCCAGTGAGAAGCAGATGGGGTAGCAAGAGTACTGGCTGTAAAAAGATGCACCCAGTGACTCCTGAGGCCACTCACCTGTGTTCACAGACACACAGAGACAACAGACACACCCTGAGGGTCAGGAATGTACACATGTCTAAGGGAAACAAATGTCATGCTTGCCTCTGAAGGATGCAGTCTTTGGAACAAGAACGAACAGACCTAAGATAGCCACTCCCCACCACTGAGGGGCACAGCCTGAGAAAGATTAACAGACTACACATTCAGGAGCAGGGAAACGCATATGTGAACAACAGACTTCCTGAAGTAAAGGGACACGTATTTGGGGGAGAGCTCTTAAAAAACAGGGAGATGCTCGTGACTGACAAACACACTTGGAGGTACAGGGACACACGTATTAGAGGCACACTCTAAGGAGCAAAGACACACACGTGTGTGAGGTACGTAGTCTCTGAGGAACAGGGTCTCACATGTCTGAAGAACACAATCTTCATGGGAAGAGGCTTGATGGTGCCTGAAAGACTTATTCTCTGAGAATCAGCGACACACTCAGAGCTGAGGGACACATTCTGACACAAACACATTCTGAATGACGTACACACATTTAGGGACACGGAGAGGTGAAAGGACAAGCATTTGAATGTCTACTCTGAGAAGCATGGTTACACACATGTGAAGACACACTCCCTGGGAATCAAATACATGCATAACTGAGGGAAACAGCCACTGAGGAGCAGAAGGACACACAGAACTGAGTGTCACTCTGGGAAGAAATGACACTTAAAAGGGGCAACTCTGGGAACAGGGACATGCACGTGTCTTTATGGACGTAATCTGGCTTCATGTGTGCAGCCTGAAGGTATCTACTGGCCAGTGGAGACATGGGGACGTTGGCACTGCTGGTCTGTGCGCCAGGAGGAAGAGATAGCCCGGGTCGGCCTTGCCTCAATTCTTCTCAAAGAGCTAGGAAACTGGACCTTAAAGCTGTCTGGTCAATTACTTGCTTTGCTCAGCATTCAGGGTGGCAGTCCTGGAGGCCAAACTCCTATCACAACTGCAGAGTTGTATGTCACTCCATAAATTGTCTTGGTAAACTGTGGGACACCCAGGATGTCAAAGATGTCTGGTCCCATCTGAAATAGTTGACCCCGCCCCATCCCTCTCTACAGCTGAGGCTGAGGTGCAGACACGGGTAAATATTTCTCCGAGGAAGCAGAGAGCACCGTACAGGCTAGCCCACACTGTACAGGACAGCCCAACTTTCCCCTAGGGCCACAGACAAGGCCTTAACTCACTTGTAATAGGCTGTGGTCACCTTCAGAAGGTGCATTTCCAGCATGCCTTTCAAGGCTCCCAGCTTCTCGTTTTTCTCTGAGTCTTGGTCATCAATTGTGGAAGCAAAGGCAATCTCATACCAGAAGCCTTTATTAAAACTGGGGGATAGAGATCAGAGAAAGGAACCACCCAGATGGACCATCATCCAGGATTTGGGACTCTGACGCCATTCTACATCCCTCCCTTCCAAGGGATGCAGCAGTCTGGAAAGTTCTAGGGGTAAATGGTACCCAAAACGATAGAGTGTTGAAGGCTGACTCTAAGTAGGGCCGACACCCATGGAAAAGCACTGAACTTGGCTCACTATAACTGGGATTACCTGCTCTGCGTCGAAGGGGCTCACTCCTTAAGCCCCTGTGTCAGAGGCCAGTCCCACACACAGTCTCAGCAGGGTGAAGAGCTTGCTGCTTTCCATGTGCCTAGCAGGTGGCTATCTGGGTTCAGTTCTCCAACCACAGGTAGCCACAGCCCTTGGCTCAGAGCCTCTGAACTTTATATCCTTCCTAGTGGGTGCTTAAGATACGCATAGATGATTTTCATTGGGTTTGGTTGGAAGCACACTGTAAATCAGACAGGTGACTCACCCCCCTGCTGGATGGCGGGGATGCAGGGGACCGCCTCAGGGGACACAGATCTTGCCTCTGGGTGTCCACTCAGGTATGCATCAATCCACTCAGGAATTGCGCTCTTCCATTCCAGCTGTGTGCAGGTGACAGAGCAGGCACCACCAAGGTCCCTAGGCAGACTTTTGTCATAGACACAGAGAAGAGGACAACAAGCTAGGGGCAGAACTCTGCCAACCAGAATGGGTGACCCAGGGCAACAGAAGCCTGGGAATGGTGGGGGCAGGACTGAGGACACTAGAACCATGAAGAAGCCACAGAAGTCAGGCAAGGGCCACCAGATGAGCAGCCAACATGCCTAGGCAAAAGCTAGCCCTGCTTCCCTGGCATTAGCTTTACCCACCACTTGTTTTTGTAAGCAGAGACCACAACCTCCAGGTTTCAGGTAAAGAGCGAAACCCATAGGGCCCGGGGTACCTGTGCAGGCGCCACAGCAAAGAGACAGCCACTGTGACATCGCTCCCTAGGGAAACACCCAGGCCCTGACCCTGCAGGGCACAGGCAAGGATAGAGGAGTATTGACAGTAACAGCCAGTGTACAAATTATAAGAAGTGGGAACGAGGAGACAGGGAGAACAGTTAAGGAACATAAAGCTGACGCAGGGCTCAGAGTCCTGCAGGAAGGAACAGCTACTGCACACAGAGAGGCGATGGCCAGTTGGATCTCCTGGTGACCCAGCTTGTAACCTGATAAACCCTCTTTCTTTCTGACAGAAGCCACAAGCCAGTGTTCCCACCTCTTGACTAGCAGTCACCAGCTATTCTGGATTCCAGAACAGTTAGGCAGCCACTAACATTGTACCCAGAGCTCTTTGCATCTCAGCAAACCCCAGATTAGCAGTCAGTGACCAAGCCAGTCCTTCCTGACCCCTCCACCTCTGAACAACTTTGGGTCCGTTCAGAACTGAGCTATCCTGATGCTAATAATCTCGTCCTACAAACTGAGTTGTACGCGATCCCCGGAGGCCAATGAAACAAGCTGGAGGAAGCTCCAGCAGCAGGACTTTTGAGTGGGTGGGGTATATGCCCAGCAGTAACTGTAAGGATCTGTTCTTAGATAATCTGTGTTTAACCAGTGTTCAAAAGAGATGAAAAGCAGTTTTCCTACCTTTCAAATAAATAAGAGTCCTCCAGGATCCTGCTAAATTGCAGGTTGCCCCACTTATTCTCCAACAAGACACACACAGTGACCACTGCAACACCTTTGCCATCTCCAGAATGTGGCAAAAAAAAAAAAAAAAAACAGCACTGGCCTCAGGAAAGGGGTCCCGGTATGGACTCAATTCTGTCCACTGAGGGTGAGCTGTCCATCTGTCCAGTGGGGCCAGACACCTCCCAGGGATGTGTCAAGGGGCGGTGTAGAGGTACACAGCCAACAGAGTGGGCGCTGGGAGGGTCAGAGGGTCCTTCATAGCCAGAGACACACATTTCTGCATGTCTTCCCTGGAGGCTCTGTCTCCGACATGGCCTGGACCATGTGACAGCCTTTTTGAAAAGCATGACTCTGCTACCCCACTGCCCAGAGGCCCGGAAAGCTCCAGACCTGCTCTCATGTTTCCTCAGAGCATCCTGAGATGCCACCAGCACTCGAGAACAGGATGGACACTGTCCCAGATTGCAGAAGGGACTGTGGGACCCACTAACCGGGAAAGCATGAACGGAATAGGGCAGGGCAGAGCAGGACTTGGGCAACGAGGACTGGCTGCCCTGTGTGTGAGGTGCATTCTTCACCACGTATTTGCAGAAATCGCAGGCTTGTTTCCTCCACCTGGGACACAGGAACCTTCCTGCCACCCCTCTCCCTGACCCCAGGAAAGAGGACAGGCAGCCTTTGGCAGCAGGGTTTATTTGAAGCAGGTGCAGGAGGCCCTTCGGGCAGGAGCAGGAGAGGCCAGGTGTGTGGTGCTGCAGCTGCAGGCCTGGACAGAAGCTATTCAGACCAGTCCCTGTAGGCAGAACGGCTGAGCTTAGGGCCATGTGTGGCCTTCAGGGACCCTGAGGTGCTGGTCAAGTGTCACAAGCTAGGTACCTGGCACCCCTGTTGCCTGATTTTGGCAAAGCACTGGTTCCCTGAGCCTGGGAGTCTCTATCTGCAAAGTGGGTTATAGTGTCAACCTTTGGGGTGTGGGCTGTGACAGTGAGGTTGTGTAGGTAGTGGATTCGGATGGTGTTAGACACAGGAAACCCCAAGAGATCCAACAGAGCTGAACTCCATCTCACCAGCTGGCAGGACATGAAGGGACTGAGCTGACCCAGAGCCCTGCACAGCCCTGCTGAACAGAACAATACAAACAAGGGACCTCTCTTGTCCAACCTAATTCTGTCCCACACCCAAAGGCATGACACCCAAGCACGACAGCTTGGGGTCACACGGCAGACCGTTCTTTCCAGACTACAAAACAGATGCATCTGAAGCTGCCCATTAGGGCTGTTGGCTGTCCTCTCCAGAACCAGGACCTAGGAGTGCCAACAGGGGCTCCATGAATGTTGGGCTGCAATGTAGACCAAGGGTAATGGGCTCACCTCTCTCAGGAGCTCAGCACACCTCCCTGTGGGATGGGACAACAGGTGGTTCAGTCAGGAGGGCAGCTGACCCCATAACAGGGCATGGTCCAGCATCCTCCTCAAGGTGCTATGCTCACCATGTCGGGTCAGCATGTAAAGGCCTTGGTCGGCCGTCATTTCCCGAAACCTCCAGAAGCCTGGCTCATCCTCAGTCTCAAGGCTCCGAGCTGTGGGGCACAGCAGAGCTGGGCTGGCAGCCTGAAGGAAGGCAGCCACAGGGCTCTGCCCCAACCCAGGCTCAACTTACTGAAGTACTTGAGTACATGGAAGTTTCTACCCTGCCAGAGCAGGGACAACTTGAGGATGGTGTAGTGCTCATAGTCCGTGTCCAGCACATAGATCTTCCTTTGGCCTTCAGGAGTCAGTGGTTGGGTTAGGGAGCCTTGCTCAGACCAGAACACTCTGGGGGAAGGTGTGGGGGGAGGGCTGACCTCGGAGACTGGATCTGCAGAACCTAATTTCCTTGTGTTTCTGCCTAGTGCCTCTGACATCCTGGGAAGACAACTTTTGAAGGCCAACCCAGGACACTAGTAGAGATGAGGGGCCTGGGGTCCAGGGCCTGAGGATCCCACGGATGGCACAGAGAGCCTCGGGGCCGGGGGAGATAGGATACAGGGCCAGGCAGCTGCAACGTTACCAACAAGGCAGGACTTACCAGGAAAAGCAAATTCCCCAACAGCGTCTCTTCCTGAACCCACTGATGTTTCTGTCATGCAGCTTCCTGAGCTGGAAAGCATCACATTGTTTGTTAACCTAGCCAGGCGGTGGTGGCACACGCCTTTCATCCCACCACTCAGGAAGAAAACAAAGGCAGAGTTTGAAAGGTGAGTTGGAGGCCAGCCTGGTCTACAGAGCAAGTTCCAGGACAGGCTCCAAAGTTACAGAGAGAAACCCTGTCTCAAAAACAAGCCAAAACGGAACAGAACGGAACAGAACAGAATGGAACAAACAGAACGGAACTGAATGGAACGGAACGGAACGGAACGGAACAGAACAATAAGAACCTACCAGCCCTCATTCTACCTGATGAGCACATTCTTGAATGGGGCATACCTTCAGAAAGAGGGCTGACAAGCTGGGGAGCATCCTGAAGCCCAGAATTCATGGAAAGGGGGCTTGCATGGAGCAGGGACCCCTAGCCTCTCACTTTCGGGGAGCCAGCCAGCTACTAGCCACACATTTTTATCCACCAACAGGGCTTTATCTTAAGTCCTCGCTTATATTTTGGCAGAAATGCAGTTCTAGCAGCTGGATCTAGTTTTTTCTGTGGTGGGAGGGCCCAATCAGGGGGACTCAGGGAAGGCTAGCCCACAGCCTGATGATCTCATCACAACAAGAGAGACAGCCTGACTGTTCAACTACATACATGTCTCCTCCTTCCCAGCAGGTCACATCCCCAAATGCTCCAGGCCTCTTACCTGTTGTACACAGCCTTCACAGTGATGTTCCTTCCACTGAAGGTGAGGAACAAGCCCTCTACCCTCCTCTGAGTCTTCAGCACCAGGTTCTGCTCAGAAGTCACAGCCACTTCCTTCCAGAACCCTGCAATCTAGAGAACGGCACTAGAGCTAGCCTTAGCTCTGAGCGGTCAAGCCACACGAGGTCTCCGGCACCTGGGCTATAGAGGTTCTTTCAGGGACCCTCCAGCAGGTCTGAGGGGGTCAATAGATCATCATGACACTGGGTGGCCACTTGTCCTCAGCCATGTTTTCCTTCCCAGGGGGCCTTTCAGGACACCAGACAGACATGTCCCTTCCGGAAGATCCTGACCCAAGACTGGTCTGCCAGGAGACCTTTCCAACAGCTGTGTGGAGAGGAAGCATTCGGGCCTACAGCCAGCACACTGAATTAAGCATGGTTCTACCAATCGCAACTTCCCTGGGGCCATGCTTTCCTATAATAGCAATGTTCCCAGAGCACAGGATATCATACCTGAAATTTTTAGAAACTGGTTACTGTTACAAGAGAAAAGAATCTGTGTCCCACAAAGCCTGACCCCTCTGAGTTAACAATGTGAGGCTGCTGGTCTCAGGAAGGATCCCGGACACAGAGAGTGGAATCCAGGCAGATAAGCCGTCCACTCTGGAGAAGTCCTCTTCTGGCTCCACAGTGCACAGGGAGGGGGTCATAGGAACCCCCGAATCAGGGAGCCAGAAAGGACCCTAAATTTGTAAACCACCAAGGGCCCAGAGGTGACTGGCCTCTACTCTCTTGACACAGGAGGCACATGAGAAAACTCAGGGAGGGGAGAGGTCCACGGAGCTCAGCGTCTCTCAAGGGTCCTATGCTGCCTGCCGTAGGGACCGGGACCTCAAGAGTGGGTCCTGTCTCTGCCAGCTATGCTGTAAGCTAACTAGGAGTTGGGTGGAAGGGGAAGAGACTCCCAGTGGCTAGACACTCCCTTCCTCCCTGTCCAACTTCCCATCAAGACCCAGTAGCGCCTCCAAGCTAAGAAGAAAGAGGCACCTTCTCTGGCACTAAGTCCACACTTGTAGACTCTGCCTGCAGCAGGTACAGCAGGAAGAGTCCCCAGATGGTCCTCAGCAGCCTGGCTTCCATCTCAGGGCCTGGATTGTGGCTTCTGGTTATGGAGGGTGAGGACTTATATTTGGAGAGAGGGCACGCATGAACCACCCAGAGAATGTCATTGGGCAAAGCTGGCTACCAGCTGCTCAGAGACTCAATTTCTGCTCACTCTGTATCAACCCACATCCAGAAAGGGGTTGGACTAAGCTAAGGCGGCAGTCAAGCTGCCTCCATCCTGGTATTTGGACAATGATAGACCACACGCTGAGACTGCGCCATCTCAGTTTCCCCATTTGTAACAATATATTTAAAAACATCAGCAAAATTTCATCCAAAATTATTGTTGGTTTTGTTTTGTTTTGACTTAGCAAAACTACAGAATTAAAGTTACCTATCTTTCAAATATCTGAGCACCGGGCACAACTGAAAGAGCTCCAAATGGAGATAAACTGTATAGGATTTAAAAAAAAAAAACACCAGCAAAATATTGAACTGAACATGGAGCCTTGGGTCCCCTACCAGAAACTTCACTTCCTGCAACATCCTGCCCTCCAGGAAAATCCTGCACTCTGCCTATGGCTATGACTCTCAAGTGACACAACTTCAGGGTGTGGTAGTGTATGTATGCAAATTTATGTATGGTGTGTGTGTGTGGTATATGTATGCATGTTTGTATATGGTGTGGGGTGTATGTATGCATGTTTGTATATGGTGTGTGTGTGGTGTATGTATGCATGTTTGTATATGGTGTGGAGGGTGTATGTATGCATATTTGTATAGGGTGTGTTCTTGTTGAATGAAAGGCATGCACATATTCACATGGGTATGTAAGCCAGAGATCAACCTTGGGTGTTGCTCCTCGGGTGCCAGTCACTTTGTTTTGATTTGCTTGGTTTATTAGTTAGTTAGTTAGTTAGTTAGTTAGTTAGTTGGGTCATTAGTTGGTAGGGTACATATTCTTTGAGACAGTCTCTCTCACTACCCTGAGCTGCTGAGGAGGCCAGGCTGCCTAGCCAGTGACCACCTCCCCGCCCCCACCCCCGAGATCTACATGTCTCCCTCTCCCCGGGACCTGCACCACGTGATTTCAGACACACACCACCATGCCTTGCCTTTTCCTCGGGGTCTAAGGAAAGCACTTTACTAACTGAGACATCTTCCCAGCCCCAATGACACAGTTTTCAAATACATAAAACAAACATCTCTCAGGCCACCGAGAATATTTTTAATGATTTATTTAATTTTATTTTATGTGCATTGGTGTGAAGGTGTCAGATCTCGTGGAACTGCATTTTCAGACAGGTGTGAGCTGCCATGTGGGTGCTGGGAATTGAACCCGGGTCCTCTGGAAGAGCTGTCAGTGCTCTTAACCGCTGAGCCATCTCTCCAGCCCCCCGAGAATTTTTTTTAAGGTAGGCAACTTTTATTTTCAAAATTCACTTTATTTGCGATCTATATTAAAAACAAAGCCTCTCACTCTCTGGAGGAAAAGCTAAAACTGGCACCCCCAAAAGGGCTTGGTCACCTTGGGACCCAATTCTCTAGCTCACAGATTGTAGAGCAGAGGGGCAGGAGCTGTTAGGCTGGTAGGGGCCCCAGGCTACTCAAAATGACTCAACCAAGGTCAGCATCCCTCATCCTGCAGGAGGGGCTTCCAATCGTCAGGACCCATGTGGAGTTGCTTCAGTCTTACACAGCTCACAAGAAGGTCACAGACACTGATGCCCACCCTACATAGGGAACCAGGCTATTGAAGACACTAGGGTGGGCTGACACAGAGGTGTAAGGAATGAGTTAGGAGAGGAAGCACACTGGGTAACACAAGGAACCATCCAAAGTCCTTGAGAAATCCGTAGGGAAGCTGGGCACCCACTGGCTCCAGCAACAGGCTGACAACCAGGGGCCCTGGGGACACAGAGATGGGTTTGGCTGGCAGGAGTGAGAGAAAGGGAAGTGGAGTGGGTGGCATCTGGTTTTCTGGGTGACCAGGACAGGATGAGGGCAGCGCCTGTGAGGGCTGACTGCTTCTGGTTCTGGTGGTTGTCTGAGGACCACACACTGAGGAGCAATGGACCAGAACTGCAGCACCTTCCGCACCCCATCCTGGCCCTTTGCATATGAGAATGAGACCCAGTAAAAGAATGGGGGTTCCGTGCCATGAAGACAACATCAGTGATGCTCCCTACACAGGGACCTCCGTATCCCACACCTTATTCCAGAGCAACGCAGAGCCTACACCATGGGACCTGACCGCGTGGATTGCCTGTCATGAATGACTTGCCCAGGCTCTGTGCCTCTGTGCCTTAATCTGAGAAGAGAGACTGGAAGGAGCTAGTTCCATGAGCCCAGGAGGTCCGTCATGGAATACGTGTGACAGCTAGCCAAGCAAGGCCTAGGAGCACACTGCTCACTGTCCTGATCCATTGTTCAGGCTCCCAGAGAGCCAAACCAAACCTAAGATCACGACAGTAGTGGGAAGCCAAACCCAGACAAGAAACTCCATGGCCTTCCTGCTGTTCCAACTCCAGCTCCAGTTTCTGCATCCAAAGGAGCCTGGACCCATCTTCACAAGGCACCCCAGTTTCAACAAAGACACTGAGAACCCACATAAGATATTCTCATTTTTCCCTGTGATTGCAGCATCCTTCTGGCACCAAATTTAAATGAAACCTCTTGCTCTTCTCCTGGAGGGGGATCCCCTAGGTCGCCAGAGTTTACATCAGTATCCCCAGTAGGGTCAGAATCAAGACAGGGCCCACTGTGCCCTGCCCAAGGGCATCTCCAAAGAGTCAAGTAGCCATGGGGATACAGAATCTGTTTATTGGGTAGAAAAGCCAGAGTAGGGACATATTAGGGAGTAAGGTGGGGCCCAGAGTGGCCCCAAAAGGGCATCACTTGGTTCCTGAGGTCATGGTGAGATTGACTGCTCCTGAGGTTGGCTGCTCCTACACAAAATAAACACAATCACTCCATCATCACCCCCTTGACAAATGTCCTTGCTACTCCACACAAGCCCAGCACTGCCCCCAAGGTTGTCAACCCACAAAGACAAGGAAAGATAATTCTGTCACCATAACTTATACAAACCCATTAGCACTTCATACACACACTGCTGCTGCTGCCCCGGACCACACACTAGAGATGCTCTCTATGGCACCTGCCCAGAGACCTTAGAGAACCCACCGCACTTCTGAGTCCCTCACTCTCGCAGGACTAGGAATCTAAACAGTCCTGCAGCGTTCCCTTAAGCCCAACCCTGTAGTGGGGCAATAAATGGGAAGTTGGCAGTTCTGCCTTCATGGGGTCTTGGGAACAGGACTACACAATTACAGAATATGGTGTGAGCCCTGGGGAGGAAGCCCAAAGGCTAAGAAGACATGGGGTACACTGGACTGAACAGTATTCCCCATCCAGGACATCTGAACCATAGCTGGGTGGTGGTGGCCCATGCCTGTAATCCCAGCACTCTGGAGGCAGAGGCAGGCAGATCTCTGTGAGTTCAAAGTCAGCCTGGTCTACAAAGCAAGTTCAAGGACAGTCAGTGCTGTTACACAGAGAAACCCCATCTTGAAAAAACAAAAACAAACAAAACAGAACCTCTGAATGAGATCTGCTACAAGCCGCAACATTATACAGTAAATGCTCAGCCATCATTTCACAAGCGACTCATCAGAACCAAGGGATATGGCTAAGGCTAAACCAAAAGAAAAGGCTTTTTGGCGTTATTGCTTCGTGAGTAAAGTGGCTGTCCTTTGCTGAAGATTTTTCGTTGTAGCTAACTTCCTGTCTGTTACATATTTGGGGATTAATTCCCACAGTTCAGAACCCTCTAGTGAGAACAGGTTCCCACTGGCCAGGCCTTGTTCCTCTCTCCTAGGTAAGCACAGAGATCTGCAGTCTGCAATTATCTTTATCAGCAGGCATCTGGTCAGAGTTCAGGGTCCAGACAAAGAATTTCCCATCTAAGGTATTCACAGATCCCCAGGGATGCAGAATCACTCCCTGCCCAAGCTGCTGCTCCGGTTTTACCCTACAAGACCCACGATCAGAACAGCGATATCAACAGCATAGCTCAGAACTGACCATCCAGAGGCCTGGGTCCCTTCTTTGTTCCTACCACCTGGAGCAGGGAGTCTAACTCCACACCTAGGCTCTTAGGAACTGCAGCGTCTGATGTACGCGCTATCTGATCAAGAGCCATCAACTTCTATCTGACTCTTTACACAGGTTGCTTGATTGTTTGTTTCTATGCCTACTGGGAGAAAAGAAGAGGCAGGCTGATTTAAAACACAATCCGTGCCCTATTCATAACATTATTGAAAATAAACCCTTTAGCTTTTACTAACCACCTAAAGTTGTAGTTTACCACACTAACCTTCCCTTCCCCTTAGAATGCCCAGATGATTTAATTCCTTTCTTAACTGAATTTCTCCATTAAGGAGTTCACAGGACATGAACTAGCCACTTCCACGGATCTGTGTTTGTCAGTGAAAACCCTCATTGGACTTTCTATGGGGCAAAAGAATTGCAGCCCTGGAGCCTGATTTAAGGATATATGTGACTGGGAACATTTGTAATGGGTAGAAGGAGGGACAATGTAGAACTGGCCCAGCCCTACACCTGCTCTCCAGCCCTGACACCCAAGTCCCCCAACCCCGGTGGTACTGGCTTTATAAACCAGCATAGCCCTGGGTTTGGGGCTGGGGATGAGCACCTTGCAAGCCAGGCCCTTTTGTCCATTATATAGCATAATCACTTGTGTGTGCCCTCTGGCCCCAGGGATAGCTTCCTAGAGGGCTCGCGGCAGGGAGGCTCTCATGTGATACACCACCAGAGGATTTGTCCCCACACCTCTGGGCATGTCACCAGTCACAGCCCCTGGACACGGAGTATGGCAAGAGTTCCCTCATGCTGTCTGGACTTGCATCCCACACACCTCTCTCCATCCTCTAGCCTGGTTAGACACAGGGTGCTGCTGAGAAACCCTGGCAATGCTCCCACACACATCCCCAGGATGTGGTGCACCATCTGGTCCTCCCTCTCTCTCTCCTCTCTCTCTCTCTCTCTCTCTCTCTCTCTCTCTCTCTCTCTCTCTCTCTCTCTCTCTCATATCTAACCCATGGCTGGGTCAGTCCTGGGCTTGTTTCTGGAGCTCATTCTGGGGCACAGCTAGTCACAGCAGAGCAGTGAGACAGCCCTGGGCACCCTCCCTCCAGATGCCCCAAGTCAGGCTTCCTACAAGCAGGCTGGGACAGGACTAGCAAGGCAGCAGCTGAAGTGAATGATGGAATCAATGGCCGTCTTCTCACTAGTTTCAGAAGTGGTCATGTGGAAACGGATGTCAGAGAGGTACCAGGGCTGGTGAAGCCCGGAACCTGGCAAGGTCTCTCCAAGTGACCTTTGTCTCCACAGAGGACCTATGGACCCCGGCCTCCAAACACACCACCCAGACCCTCTCTAATCAGGATCCAGGGCCCACTAGAGTGGCCAGAGCCGTGCCATTCAGAACAGAGTAGGTACTGAATCAGAGAAAGACCCTGAGTGTCCCTCAGAGAGTGAGGGACAGGGCCAAGGGCTTGAAACTTCTGAGACGTTTCAGAGGAACCAGCTCACCACTGTCACAGGATAGAGCAGAGAAAGCCTTCCAGGAAAGGGTAACAAGGGACTGAAGTCAGATATGATGATGGACTCTTTTTATTCAGCCCAGCCCTCCACCCCAGGTAACAGGGCCACAGACGGTGAAGTTTTACCTCCTCAGTAGTCAGTCTAGAAACCCCATCCCAGACATGTCCAGGGTCTGTCTACATGGCAGTCTTAAATGCCATCAAGTTGACAAGATTAGACACAACACAAAGTCAACCAATATTGACCTTAACCTCATCCTCAAATATTAAAAGACATTACAGAGCTAAGCAATGTATCAAGGTTAAACAGAGAACAGTTCTGAGTAGCAGGATAAAGTCCCGTGAGGCCTCACTCTGTCTGACCCAGCGTGAGCGTCTCCCTTTCTCAGATCTTCTGTGCTATGTATGTGGCCGGCCAGATCATCACTGCCGCAGCTCCCAGTAACTTCCATTTTACTTCAGAACGTTCCCGATTTCAAGAGTCTTGTTACCAGAAGATTTATTGTAGCCTGGAGACAGCCTCCAGCAGCACGGGATTTAAAGGGAGAGCCACGGAGTCAGTGTTTGCTAAGACGTTTTTATCTCAGGGGGTAGGGAGAAAAGGCACTCACACCGTCTCTTGATGGTTCCCTTCTTCAATCTTCTGTAGTATTCTTCTGCTGTATACTTTTCCACTACAGCTTTTTTACCCCAGCAAAGTTTCTCAAGCAATATCGGAATTACAAGGCGGTCACATTCCATTTCTCAAGCAAATGATTACAATGAACACAAGTGAAAAACATGCTGTTTTCCATATCCCTTACATGATTAAGCATTTTACATACTACAGGTGAAAATCAAATTATCCCCAAGAACCCACGTACATTCATACCCAAGCAACTTGTTGTAGATTAACAGAGTGTAAGCAAGCAAGGTATTTTTCTCAGTCAGGTTGTTTACTGACAGGCTGTCACTTTACTACTTATCTTAAAAGGTAATATTAAAAAAAAAAATCTTGGGCTCACTTCAGCAGTGCATATACTAAAATTGGAACGACACAGAGAAGATTAGCATGGCTCCTGCACGAGGATGACGCGCAAATCTGTGATGCGGAAGGAGAAGGAGGAGGAGGAGGAGGAGAAGGAGGAGGAAATCTTAAAGGAATCACAAACCTAAACTCTTATCATAAGAAAAAATTAGTCAGCTCTACTTTAAATCTTTAGGGTCAAACCTAACATACAAACTCATCAGTAGTTTTTTTATGTCAGGAGATTGAGGGCAGAAATGGGAACAAGGAATTAATCCTCATCCACCTTTGATCACCAACCCACCCTAGCGAGGAAAGCGTGTCAGCTAATAACTGGGATGCTTTGTTCTTGTTCCCTGACCTTAATGAGTTCCCCACTCAGCCATGTGCCTTTCTCAAACTTTATAATGTCTTCTTGGGTTTTTCACCTCAAAGATATTTAACAAAAACATCTTTGTCTAACTTTTGAGCTGTTTTCAAAGCTTTGTTTTAGCTATGATACACTCCGAAATTTGTGAACACATCTCCCAACATCAAGATTAGAAGAGTTGAAAGTAACTGAGCTGCTGGGACGCAGCTGTTTTTCCTAACCATTAACCTAAGCCACAGTCTCTGTGGCCCCTGAATAGCCACGCATGTGTTCTAGCTGTGTGACACTTGTTTTATCATTAAAACTCTAGTTAAACTAACATTATTATTATCAACTACACATACAGCTTAAGAAGAAATCATCTTCATAATAACACACAGGTAAAGCCGTCCAGTACAATGGGATGTTCTCATGAGATAAACGCACCCATTGCAGGCAGTGGGATCCCCCACACCATTCACACCACACCAGATGCCGGAAAAAGATGGCAGCAGCAACCGTGTGAAGGCTCAGCAGAAGCAAAGGACGTTCTGGGGGGGCTGGAGAGATGACTCAGTGGTTAAGAGCACTGACTGCTCTTCCAGAGGACCCGGGTTCAATTCCCAGCACCCACATGGCAGCTCACAACTGTCTGAAGATCCAGTTGCAGGGGATCTGACACCTTCACACCAATGCACATAAAATAAAGTTAAATAAACCATAAAAAATATTTAAAAAAAGAAAAAAGACGTTCTGGGGTCTGTGATCCCTGGGCCTTTCCTATCTGTAATCCACCCACCAGGGATTCATCTCCTGGTGGGCCGACGCCCTGAAGTCAGCTGCCTTCTGCTGCTCCTCTGGCATGGCCACCAGCATAGATTTATTCTAGTGCATTGTTCTAATTGCTTTATATTATCATTAGTGGCTAATGTCTCATTTCTTACTGTACCTGGTTTAT